CACGAAGACCGATCTGCGCCGCTCGCATGCAGGCACCTCCCGCAACCTTCACCAGATCGCGGTCCACCTAGTGGGAGACCTTTGTCCAGCAGTGGACGTCTTTCGGCTGAAACGAACGAACGAACGAACTACTTATACATACTCGTAGTAAATCAGGAAAATATGCTACTTACCTTTCAAAAATGTATTTTGCTACTTATCTTTCTGTTTCATTCACCATTATCCTGAAATGCATGCGAGTTGCAATGGCCTCCGTGTCCCGAGCCTCGGTTGAATCACCGGTATTTCGAGCCCGGAATAAGAGCACGTTGAAACTGAGTTGCGCTGGCCGCTGATTCACCTTTTGATATCGATGATATTATGATCACGTCACATAAGATGATCTGTGGAAGTGTTAGGTCCTTGCTTATAGGCAAGAGTGAATAGACATCAGGGTAGATAATATGTACCGCCCTAGACTGCATCTCACATAACATCGGGCGATTGTGATCAAATACCTGTCCAGTTCTGCAGAACTAAATGAATAATTGTGTAGGTTTGTTGTACAATTACGTATCATCAAGTTATTTACACCCGTATTCACAAACATTACTACACACGGGTTGGAATGGCCTGATGTTCGCATATTTTTCCTTCTAAGTCTTTTTTTACAAAATCCACTTCTCTTTTCCTCTTCACAACTTTCAATTTAATACTGACTAACCAAAAAATTACCTACATGATGATGATGTTGATGCTCTTCTACCATTCAATAACCTTTTACTTGTTTAATCTGTGACGGAAAAGTTCATAGGAAAATGAAACGGCCCTGTACTTTTCTCAATAGCCAGCCAATAAGTTAAGTGCTTGTTTGATATTTATTTCAATAAAAAAATATAATAAAAATAAACTTTTTTAAAAACAAGCTTTTATTCTGAATTTCGAAAGCTTGTATCGCGCATGGCATTTATTCCTCTTTTTCTCTGTTTGCGCTACAAGCTTTCGAAATTCAGAATAAAAGCTTGTTTTTAAAAAAGTTTATTTTTATTATAATTTTATTTTACACTTTTTAGTTATATCTTACTGTTAGTATTAGGTTCTGATAGTTAGATAGTGAATTAAGATGTATGTACTTATTCAAGTTTCAGTTCCATAGAAATGTCTCAATTTATTTAATTCTTTTCAGACTTTATGTTGACATTCCTGTTCAGTAACTTCTAAACTCAACACAATAAATAAATGTGTACTTATGAAAGTTGACAGAGTTTTAACGTTAAGTGAAGCAAAAATGGAAATGTACAAAAAGTCGGGCTGTTTCCGAGAAGATTTCTTACCGGTATCGATTCAAAGTGGAGGAATGAACTTACTCGTGCCCTGTCTCAGACCATGAATAATTGAATGGTGACTTTTATTTTCTTACCTTATGAGAACTTACAGAAGTCATAAAATTAATTTATTTTCTGCAAATGAGCTTTTAAAAGGAGCTTTTACACATCCCACTATTACTTTAACGTACGTACGTATGTACAACAAAGTTCACGTAAGTACTATGTGTTTGTTAGGACGGTTCCCGCAGAAGTACATCTGCTTGTTCTGGCTATTGGACAACTTATGAATTACTTACCTAGGTACATAAAAATTGATAATTTCTCATTTAAGTGACTGTAAGGTTTTTAATGAGAAATTTAATGTTATTTAAAAATAACCTTACGACTGCTTAGGGACAATAAACAACCCAGTGCAGAATAAAGGAAAATAAAATATGAAAAGGATCGGCTCTGAACCATCCCCTTCATGGCTCGCTAACTAGGTAGGTTATGTATAAATCGATATGGAAATCGATTGTGTTCGTCTTTTATGGGATTGGATGTTGGCTGGCTGTTTTAGATGTAAGATATTGTAATTAATAGAATATCGTATAATTATCTACACAGGCAACTAATGTGATCATGGTTTAATCATAAAAAAGTAAATGCTATGTGGTTGATTTTTATTTCTCAGTTTGACAGAACGATTTGGGAATTTAAATGTTAAATAAAAACAAGATATTTATTTAAATAACTATTTATTAAAATTACAATTAAATGCGGAACAATCCTCATCACATCACATAATTCTTTAATCTGGTTGACATAATGAAATAATCAAACAATTTTTAAATTATCTAAAGATAGTAAGAGCATACTGTCAAGGATAATTTTGACAGACAAATAAGTTCCGAAAACACAAGAGCACTTAAACCTATTTTCCAATGACCACGGTTACAAAACGTCTTAATACATCAATATTAATGCAGTTCTTGTATAGTCTCTTTGATTGGATTTTTAATTAATAATATTAATTATTAATTTAAACTCGTATTTCAATCGTTAAAAATATTATTTGCAAACAACAGGAAATAATATTTTTTCCAAACTATTTATCAGGTCTGACTGAGGTACATTTAAAAATCTTCTATTTATTTTCTATTTTATTAAAAATAATATTGTCGTAAGTGACAGACAGTATACATACGTTATTAATATTGACACAGAATGAACAATAATTACAACAATAATGTAAATAAACACATATTGATATAAGATTGAATATTATGTTATGTCTGTCTGCACTTGTAATAAAAATACATATTTTTGATTCGTCACTTTCCGTCTAATGTTAATTTAAGTAACATAAACTGACAAATCTGTGTTTTAATTTAGGCGGTTAGGTTAGTATACAGAACGAAGCTCAAAAAACTCCATTCAAAATTAAGCATAGCTTTTTGATCTGTTGAATTTGAATATTTTGACCAATTACAGAATATAATCTATGTCTGAGTGTGAATTATTATTTGAGCGATGTTTTGTAATCAGACCTAGTGAGGTTAGTATTACAGAATGAAGCTAAAAAACCTCCATTCAAAATCAAGCAGAGCTTTTAGATCGATTGAATTTGAATATTTCGACCAATTACATAATAGAATCTATGTCTGAGTTTGAATTAAGATTTGAGATGTTTTGTGTAAGCATTTTTTATAGCTGTTTGCTCTAGGGGTGCATATTTCCAACCAGGCAGTGTAGGCACTGCTAGTTAGGCCTAGTAAACAATATTTTGATGAAAACTTACAACTTTATTCCCGCCTACCTCGCTTGCTGAACAAACATAATGTCCACCACTGATTGCTGGGTGTTGAAATGTAGCCACATTGAGTTTCTGCCTTTGTAGTCCCAATTAACTCGACAATTAGTACTAATTGCTTAATTAAATGAAACTGGTAACTGAACCGGGGAAATAGTCAAATGTATGTAGCTCTTCACTGTAGTAGCAAAAAATAATTGTACAAGTTCACGCACTCAAATACCCTCGTCAAAAATATGGCTACTTTACATAATTAATGTAATTAACAGAGGCAGAATTCCGCTTGCATGTAAATACGACGACCTGACACACACTTTTCGTAAGTATTTTTGGAACAGATTTTGCGATAAGGAGTATTTAACTTTTTTGAAAGGTCGACGTCACGCAGTAGCACTCGTACTTTCCCATCATAAAGATGTGCGATCTTTGTTATGTACGAATCACAGAAAATCGAGCAGCTCTACCTTGTCACCTCGTTACGTTTTTTTAACACTTTAAAAGGAAAATTAAATGTTTTATTTATTTGTGCTATGTGTTATAAAGCTTTCAGGACAACGTTATATTGCATGAAATACTCCAGGAAATACGATTATGATTATTGAAATCATTGATTTTCCAGGAAGATATTTTACATCATACCCAGTATTTAGGTAAAAGTTCTTTATATGCTTTAAGCAGAAAATGATAAAACTAGAAACCTGAAAATTTTCTTCATGGACATTCTTAAAACGTATAGGTACATTAATTTAACTTACATTCGTTTATATCATTGTACCTAATCATTGCAATGTGTTACGTCATATTTTGTATCTTTTCTGCCATGTTGGCATATTATCTTTAACACTGATAAAATCGGTAAACATAATATATCAACGATGATTGATTGATGGCAAGAAACAGGGAATAATTTAGAGGAACGTGACAAGGGCGTGTTGGATACTTTTTTAAAAATGAATTTTAATGTATTAAAAAAGCTGAACTCTTTTTATAACAGAGGTTTTTAATGCTGGCGGTATTATTTATTTTTGTAGTCTCGATCCTTAAATTCACACCTGGCAAAGTTCCAATAATTTCCCTGTTAATATTAAACAATTGAAAGATGGTTTTGTACTATCAACTAGATATTTAGCTACTCTAGTCCTTAATAACAGTGTTGTCAGACATTCCAAACCTAATTTATGTCAAAGTAGTTATGTATGTACAAAAGAGCATGCAAGTGTGACATTTAAATTTTTTAAATGCACATTTTGTACTCAGTATACTTAGTAGTTCAGTGGACTTTAACTTAATTCGAAACAATATCAACATGTAGTTAATGGCAATTTAAATGATAGCAGATGATTAAAAGGAGGATGAGATCAGAATTGAAGTAAATATAATAAATTCCTCTGTATTACATGTAAAACAGACAGTGGTGTAATTGCTAATATGTATTGTGACTATCCACAATATACTCGTATATTTCAGATTATAAAATCCACAAAAATTACTTTGTAACACGTAACTTATGTTACAAAAATAGAAAATTTAACATTTTGGCTCTGAAATAAAACCAATAATCATGATTATCATTATGTCTGTGCATCGTTTCCCAACCTTGACTCCATTTGTAAGCTCTCGAAGGCAATTGAACTAACTAGAGAACATAAATTAATTACAATTACTAACCTTCTGATAAACAATTCAGAAGATTCTTTGCCTTCGAATAGGACATCAAGCTTGTGAAGCGACTGCCGTGTCCGCACTAAGACTGTTCCTGGTATAGATAGTTTCATCCACGAAGACGCGCCCCACCATTCTTCCGCTAATGTTTGAGTGTTATCGGTACACGATAAATGATGAGTGCACACGCACACTACAATAATGACGCTCGGATTGCTCGGGTATTACGCCCCGCACCCCGCGCTTCCCTCGACCAAAAATTGTTGGGGCGCGTCTTTGTGGATGAAACGATCTATTATAAAATTATGCACACAATCCACCTTCCTATTAAACCTAGATTATTCGCTAGTCAGCTCTCTCGAGCAGTTTCCTGACCAGTCGCCAGTCTTCCATGATGTCAGCATCAGGGAGCATGTAGACTACATAAGGGGGGGAAACTGTCACCTGCCTCTTGCGCCTCCTCCTGCCCCATTCGTTCCCGCTAGGCCATAAGTCCACTGTGTGCCTCTCCTCTTCTAACTTACGGATTTTTTCTTGGATCTCTTCTTTTAGCGTCTCGTAGGCCAACCATTTTTCACTCTGTGGACAATGGAAAAGAATGTTAATATTTGTAAAGATAAACATATTAATGAAGATTTAGCAATGTTAATACGACTGCCAGGGTAATGTGATAATTGTTTTAAAGGTTTTCCAAGTATGAACTGAAAGTAGAGTCATATTTATAGGCATTTTTCATCCCCGCAATTTTATTACTATGTTATTTATACAGAAACTATTTAAATTGATATTATTCTGTTTCCCAATTGTATAAAATATTAGACAAATATGACAGAGATGAATCAACAACAATAAAACGATAATTGCGAAGATATGAGCACAAAGTATGAAACTATCAATTATTTGACAATTTTCACATGGGACAATTGAGAGCGTATTCAAATATCATATTGTTTTAAATACATATTAGGGGCTAGTAGCGTTGAGAATATGTATTTCCATGAACGCTTTCCAAAAGGACCAGTTTTCAGGACAAAGAAGGAATACTAGCAATAATGAATAAACCTGGAACAAGCGAGCAGAACTGAAATAAGGAAAATTAAATAAACGAATATGAATAAATTAAATATTCGTTCGACGTGTATAACAGCAATCAGCATGCGCTTAAATTAATACTGATAACAGTGCTCATATCCAAACAAAAGGTTCAAAATGTTATATTGAACACTTCTTTCAAATCAACACGTTTATTTATGCAAGTAGGCTCCCAAAGAGCACTTTTGTAGACATCCCAGCCCTGCCACTGCTTGGGTATAACAGTAATATGGGCGAGTGCGGAAAAGAGTATGAGTTCTAAAGAGTCACTGTTTCACAGAATCATTTACACTAAGGACGTAGGTTAAATGTTATTATAAATTCTATTTCCAGGCACTTAAAGATGAAGATAAATTCCTTGGAAGATTTTTACCGAATTTCCACGGAATTAATCATGCCTTTAGTATGAAATAAAGATATTTCATAATAGTTTAGATTTAACGACCGATTTTGACGTGATACAAAGAATTTCTGTTACAGAACGACACTCACGCGCCTAAACGAGAAAGAAGTTAGTTAGTTTGAATTATCATAATGTTTTAAAATGGCGATAATTTATACGTCTCAGATAATAATAACACCTGTCGTTATCGATAACACGTGGTTTACAGTTGTATCAATATGAAGGAGTTTGCAGCTCTCAAATTGTTCACAATCGCCAACCGGCTCGTTGGTCTAGGGGTATGATTTTCGCTTAGGGTGCGAGAGGTCCCGGGTTCAAATCCCGGACGAGCCCACTCCTTTTTGTTTTTTTAACAATGCAATACAATGATTTCATTACAACAGAAGCTTACTTTCTTTATCTCATTGTATTTTATTTTCATATAGTTTCTGCCTACGGCTTCGCCCGCGAGATTATCGTTCTGTTACAGAAAGTTCATTTTTCGGGTTAATATAGACTCTCACAGAAAATAATGTGGCTTTCCGTTGGTAAAAGTTCAGTACATTCAGAGATTACCTACTGTCTACAAACTACCTCTATAAATTGTTAGTAGGTACCCATAGGCATAGGTATAGATAGGTAGATAGATATACCTGGTAGGTAATAATGTTGCTTTCAAAAGCATTATAACAATCAAGACAAGGCAAAGCTCGATATCTATACAAAAAATAACTGGAGATTGTTAATTATGATAAATCGCGAAATTGACTTCAGACATAATCGTAGCACATCAAATTATATTATTGTTGAAAAATAGCACTTATCACAACTTAATAACTTCACAGTGTTTAGCTGGATGTGCCGTTGTCTGTACCTACATTTTAATGAATACAGGGTGACTTTGCAATCAGTAGGTATCTAAATTTTTAGGAGCGACTCAGAATCAATAACTTAATCAATTTCCTAAAGAAAACATTTTTTTTTTCATATTTAATCAAGGAAATTCGCTATCATTTAGACAGAAGAAGATAATAAAAAAACTAATATAATTTAATTATTTTTATCATCTGCGCGCGGTTTCAAAATGGGCTCACGCGGATAATTTGCTTAAGCTTAAGCATAATGGTGCGCGAAAATAAGCTTTAACCTTAAGATATGGACACCCGCGAATTAGATCAATAATTTTTTTCGCGAAAAATGCCGCGATTAAAAATAATAAGGAATAATGAGAACTTTATTCTATTGTTGAATTGGTCTATAGAGCTTATTAAAAAAAATTGGATACTGATAACAAAAGCATCCTGTATGTATTAACTAATTATCTATACCTATAATAAATCTGTAGAGAGGTAAATTCTATACATGAAATATATTTTAATTTTTTTTTGTCTGTCTGTCTGTCTGTCTGTCCGTCTGTATGTTCCTTATAGAAACAAAAACTACTCGACGGATTTTAACAAAACTTGGTACAATTATTCTTCATACTCCTGGGCAGGTTATAGGATACTTAGAAATTCCCACGGGAACGGGAATTAGCGGGAAAATCCTTTTGTATGAAAAATCTAAACCGCTTAAGTTAGACGCTTGAAATTTGGCATGTAGATACCTTAGTAAACTTAAAGCTTAGTTACAACAAGGAATTCCCGAAATTCCCACGGGAACGGGAATTAGCGGGAAAATCCTTTTGTATGAAAAATCTAAACCGCTTAAGTTAGACGCTTGAAATTTGGCATGTAGGTACCTTAATAAACTTAAAGCTTAGTTACAACAAGGAATTCCCGAAATTCCCACGGGAACGGGAATTAGCGGGAAAATCCTTTTGTATGAAAAATCTAAACCGCTTAAGTTAGACGCTTGAAATTTGGCATGTAGGTACCTTAATAAACTTAAAGCTTAGTTACAACAAGGAATTCCCGAAATTCCCACGGGAACGGGAATTAGCGGGAAAATCCTTTTGTATGAAAAATCTAAACCGCTTAAGTTAGACGCTTGAAAAGACAATGCCGGAAATTGGCGTCTTTTGAATGACATTTTATGTGTAAACAAACAATACCATCCATTAAAGGCTCCAGACATCAGTATGCAGCAGAATCAGCGCAATAAAAAAATAGCGCAATATTTTGTTGCAATTTCTTACAAAACTTGCGCGCAAAAAGCAAATCTAGTATGAAAATAATTAAACTTCTAATGCTCGTAACTCAGTTCAGACTGAGTTTAGAGGTATACATGCCATAGTAAGTTTGGTTTAAAACACTATTTTGAAATCAAAAAACAAAGTTTGGTCGATGGCCGCGCGAAAAAAAAAAGACGCCACCTTCCATACAAAATCTGGCATTGCCAATTGGCATGTAGGTACCTTAATAAACTTAAAGCTTAGTTACAACAAGGAATTCCCGAAATTCCCACGGGAACGAGAATTAACGGCAAAACCCTTTTGTATGAAAAATCTAAACCGCTTAACTTAGACGCTTGAAATTTCGTATGTAGGTACCTTAGTAAACTTAAAGCTTAGTTACAACAAGGAATTCCCTAAATTCCCACGGGAACGGGAATTCGTGGGAAAATTCTTTTGTATGAAAAATCTAAACCGCTTAAGTTAGACGCTTGAAATTTGGCATGTAGGTACCTTAATAAACTTAAAGCTTAGTTACAACAAGGAATTCCCGAAATTCCCACGGGAACGGGAATTAGCGGGAAAATCCTTTTGTATGAAAAATCTAAACCGCTTAAGTTAGACGCTTGAAATTTGGCATGCAGGTACCTTAGTAAACTTAAAGCTTAGTTACAACAGGATATTGCAAAATTTCCACGGGAACGGGAGTTAGCGGGAAAAAACATTTGTATGACAAAAATCTAAACCGCGTAAGATAGATGAAGGGGGTTAAACGGGATCCACGCGTACGAAGTCGCGGGCGGCCGCTAGTTGTAATAATATGTGTTAGTTAATCAACCATACAACGAAAATTCAGTCACGCTCCGCGGGAAAATTACAGTGAAATGAAGCAATATTCTTTCGCTGTTTTCGCGTGGATATTCTACGCTTTTTACAGAATGAATTTTTCCTTTTAGTCCATGAAACGGTTTCATTTCGTTTTAAAGTAAAACACCTACTCATATCCTACTCTTTTATATTTTATTATTTTTGATTCACGTATCTTTTTTTAATTCAAGTTACCTATTCCTACATTTTCATAAGGGTCCTAAGGAAGAAATTATGAGTCTTCCAGTGACTTGGCCCACTTTTAGCTTGGTCCACGGGCCAAGTCGCCTGTTTGAATTTTTAAATAGTTTTTCTTTCAGTGACTGGCTGGGCCCACCTATTAAGAAATTATATAGGTAGATAGAGTAGATTTTTGTTGATTTGGAGTTTAGGTGTAGTGGTTCGAAACGGACTACTATTCCGGAGGTAGCGGGTTCGATTCCCGCACAGTAGGTACAAACATTTGTGTGCATGAACATATTTGTTTGTATTGGACTGGGTGTTTTCTATGTATATTAAGTATGTATTTACGAAAAAAAAAGTATTTAAGTATGTTTATATCCGTTGTCTAGTACCCATAGTACAAGCTTTGCTTAGTTTGGGACTAGAAGCGCAGTGTAAATGTCCAAGGATATTTATTTATTATTTATTATATCAAAAGCATAAGGTCGTCATGAAATATCTTTTCCTCGTACTTATTAACTTTTACTCCTACTCAACTGGTATTTTTGCAACAAAACGTAGCGCATAATCCTTCTCCTATGTGGCTATGTCTATGTCCATCAATCTCCGAATCAAAGTTCAGTGATTTAAGCGTGAAAAAGTGACATGTACTAATGTTACCCTTTCACGCTTAAATCACGATTAATTTCACTATTGAAGAATCATGATTACGACCATGACTATGATACTTCTACAGACGCATGTAGTATGGACTGCGGTCCAGTTTTAGTGTCTTGCACTGCATCTAATGACCTTCTCGCTTGCAGATCGGAGCGGGCACGGGAAGCGCATGATACGCATTACAGCGTGTTCCCACTCGGTCGATGAATATTTTAATCTGCGAGGGTCGGTCGCAGGCCGAGGGCGTATTAAATGCTGGAGTGCTTTTATGATATTATTGTA